TGCTACGGCTGCGGCTGCAGCTGCGTGCTTGGGACGCGCGGTGGCCAGGCCGAGCCGGCGCCGCCGAGATGGAACCGTGAGTGCCGGGCGGGCGGAGTCGGGGTCCCGGGCGCGGAGGCGGGAGTCCCTTGCCCGGAGGAGACCAGGGTGGCTGGCGGGGCCCTGTCCCAGCCGGCAGAGACGGTGGCGCACGCTAGGTTGGACCTGCAGCCGAGCCCGGGCTGGGCCGGAGGCTCCTGCTGACGTGGGCCCGCGGGGCCCGCACGGCCTCGGCAGATCTCTGCGATGCTGAGTTTTGTGAGTTGTACGATCTACGGACTTTGATTCTGCGAAGTGCGGGGAGGCTTTAACGAGGGAAAACCTGTTCCGGGGACCCGGCAGACTCCGTCCCCTAAACAGCTTTGGACGCTGCAGCATCTCCCGATGTCCCCCGGCAGGTTAAAAGGACGAGTCTCGCCTAGTGGAGTTTCTAGAGGTTTGTCCTGAGCGGTTGAAGCCCCGAGTTTTCGAGGTTTGTGGGGCGGCCCAGGGCAGGACTGTGTTGCGGCTCAAACAACTTTGGAGTTTTGGAGACAGAAACGCACGGTGCGGGTGGGAGTGCTCAGCTCAAGGGCCGTGTCTAGGAAAGGCCACTTGTCTCCGTTTCTTCGGCTTTGGTCACTGCACATGATAGAAAGCTGACTTGCATAAAGTGCCAGACCAAGTGGACATTTAAAGATCTTTTCATTCAAATCCGGGTGAAGGGGATAACTTCAGGGACAGCCTTCAGGAGCGTTTATTTTGTCACTTTAGGGAATACTGAAGGGACCTTGCCTTTGAGGGTTGTGGTTCCGTGGGGTGGTACCTGCTGCGTGCTTCAGGGGTCCTCTCACCGACGACCTCTTCCATCTGCACAGCTGCTGAGATTGCTGTCCAGCGTCCCTTTCCTGTGGGAAACAGGAGGTGTGTGCGCGCATGCGGGGTTGAACCTTGGTCCCCACTGCCGCCAGGGGCTGCTGGGCATCCTGTCTGTTACCGGACCGGGCACTAGCTGGAAGGGAAGCCATAACCGAGGAAAGGTCTCGCGGAGGAAGTACAGCCCAGAGCTTCAGTTAAGGACTTGTCGCCCGCAGTGTGAGGTGTGGACATCTGGACGACAGACAGCCTCCGGGGACCAGGGTTCAAAACGGCATGATTTGGGAATTGCAGAAGGGTTTTGGTTGGCAGCAAATAAAACTTTACAAATCCAAGCCTGAACATCCCAGTCGAGTTGGTGTTGTGTGTGTCTGGCTTGACACTGCAAGTCATTTCTTTCTTTCTTTCTTTCTTTTTTTTTTTTTGAACCAGGGTCTTATGTAGCCCAGGCTGGCCTTGAACTCTCAGTGATCCTCTTGCCTCAGCCTCCTGAGTGAAGCCATTTTTTAAAATGGCTGTTGTCCTGGAGGCATTTTTGTGCAGAAGTATATTAGACCCCTTTTTTGCTAGCAATAATTAATTATGGTGCAGCCTACTGTGGCTTCGGGGACACCTGGATGCTTGAGAGGCCACCAGGCATGGGTCAGTAGTATGTTCCTACCATCTTAAGAGTTATTTAGGATTATTGGATTATGTAGGATTGGATCTCTTAGAATGTGTGTGTATATATATATATATATATAATATTTTCACAAAATATGGAGAATGGATTGTTAAAAAAATTTTGTTATCGTAAAAGACATGCCATTAATCCTTTTCAGAATACTTCCCATCACTTTAAACACGTTTGTCCCATCATTGCCGCTTTCTGAAGCAGTTTTGAGAGTCCTTTCTTGTGAGTGTCTAGTAGCGCTCTGTGGCTGCCTTGATATCCTGCCTGGATTCAAAATGTTTATCTTTCATGGTCTTTGCTTTAAGGGAAGAGCCAGAAGTTGCATCATGGCAGGTCTGGTTTATTTGGTGGATAGACACACTGTGATGTTTTTATTTGACAGGAATTGCTATAAATGTTTTAAACTGATTTAGGATATCAAGGAAGTCGTGAAAAGACATGAAAGAAGACTGAGGACTGCTGTGGAAAGTGACAAGAATGGTAGCATAAGTGTGTTTGAAGATGCAGGTAGTATTTCAAGGGTGATTACTGGTGATTGTTCTAGACTATAATTTAAAAATTTGTTACTTAATATTCACTGCCTCTTTGGTCACACCTCTGTATTTATGTATTCATATTCATATATTCCTGAATCAAAATATCTCCAGAAACAAACAGCTTGAGAGTTGACTGTATGCCAAGTGCTATTGTATCATTTTGTATCATGAAACCCTCACCCTCACTCTCCCATGAGGAAGTTTTATCCCCATTTTACAGATAAGGAAACTGAGATGCTGAATGAGTTTCTCAGGGTCAAGCTGTTAAGCTCAGCTGAGAAACCCAGGAGGTTGGGCCAGGGCCTATGCTCTTGGCCCCCTCGTTACTGCCCTGTATAGCCACACGTGATGAGGCTTATTCCTCACAGACAGTGGAGTCTTGTTTTCTGGATGTGGTGGTTTAGGAATTTGAGGTCTTTGAGGTACAGTGGCGCACTCCAGGTTTCCTGCAGAGCAGCAGGAGAAAGAGCTTCCCGCACAGCTGCAATGCCTGGCGCTGGGCTGGAGCCATGCCCAGCGCTTCCTGTGTGAAGATCAGGTGCACTGACCAGCACCTGACCTGCTTCCTTATTCCTTTTGGCCTGGGCAGCTCCTGGGTGTTAGCCACTGAGCTCCAGCTGGAAAGGATGCGCATGAGCTCACACTTTCTGAGACTCTAGAACTCTGCTCTTTACAGTGTGTGTGGTGGGGGAGGGTGTTGGCTTTGAGCATTCACATAATGGCTTTTCTGAGGCCTAATCCTTTCTTGAGTAGCTGAGGAAATTATTGGTAATATATTCAATTTGGCTGATTGAAATTTCAGACTTACTCTGATTTCCCCCCCAGCAGTTTCTTCTTAGGACTCATTACATGATAAGTTATTTAAGAAGCAGAGATTTCGGTGTGCAGGACCGTGTTGGTTGGGTGTGCACTGGTAGATTCAGAGTCTCTGTCTGCCTGCTGCTGCCTGGGGCCCCAGCCAAGGCCTTGGCATGATAACAAGCAGCATCAGGAAGTGCTCACTCCTGCCCTTCCCTTCCTCTGTTGGAGCTAGAGGGGAGAGCACTTTGCACCGTGAATCTTAGGAGATACTGTGCCAGTGAAGACAGTATTTTCACCAATAAGAAACAGAAAAAACAGGTGCTTTTAGTCCCAGCTACTGAGGAGGCTTAAGCAAGAAGATTGCTTGGGCCTGGGGTTTTGTGGCCAGCCTGGAAACATAATGAAACCCTTTTTCCCATACTAGAAGCAGGAGAAAGAAGACAACTATGACTTTTAACAGTCGCCGTGATTGAGTTGTTGCTACCTTTCTCACCACTGTTTGAGACACTTATTTTTTTATACTTCCCAGCTATCCTGTAAATAGTCTGCTTATCTCCTTTTCGCAGATGAGGAAACCGAGTCCCTGTGAGGTGCTTAGCTTGCTCACTGCTGTAGCATTAGAAATCGGGGGGGGGGGGGCGGGGGGAGGCAGGGTGTAGGCAGCAGGCCAGTGCCTTGAAATCTTCACTAAAATGTAAGAACAGGCCAAGAGATATAAAAAATCCCTTTCCAGAACTTAGATCCTAATTAGTAAATTGTAAAGTGGTCAATCTGGATATCAGATGAACAAGCAGCAAATTAGTAACACTGAAGTGTTCTGTGGCATACCTGCCTACTGATGAGTAGCTCGAAGAGATGCTATCACCAGCCTCCCAGGCCTGGGTGGTGGTGTGTGCGTAGGCCTAGAGGGGCTTGGGGTGCTGGTTGGGGTACAGGTGGCAGTTGCTCTTGCATGCTTCTTTCTCATTACAGTCACCACCTTTAGGTGTCTCTCACGTTCCCCTCCCCCCACTCCTGCCCATCCTGTGGGCTTTCTATCCGTGGGCCCGTGCACGGCTGGACCTCCCATCCTCCTCTAGTGGCAGTTTTCATGGACCTTGAGTAGCCCACGTAGGAGAGAGTGGGGACTGTAATGGTGGCAGCAGGGCCCTGGGGTACTGGCAGAGCCAGTATGGCCTGGAGCACTGCGGTGGACACCCAGCAGAAGGCCTCTTGGACCCATGGAGTGTGGAACTGCTTTGGCCACCTCAGACAGGGTAAAGCCAGAGCCACAAATGCCATTGAAAGACAACATGGGGGAAGGAAATAGTCTAATCTTGTGGTCAGCAGTTGGTCATAGGAGAGAATGTAGTAGAACACAGGAAAAAGAACATGACTAGAGAAGGGTGAGGAACAGTGCAGGGAATATAATGTTCTCAGACGCCCACCCTCTGTAGGGCACATGCTGGGCCCTTGGAGCCCAGTGGGTGGCAGCTGCAGGTTGCTGAGGCCAGGGATGTGGGAAAACACTGATCACCCGCGTAAGATCCCGAGCAAGGCTTGGGCATGGAGCCCTGGGGTGGGCAGGCAGTGGCTGTCTCTGAGTGGTTGGGGATACCCCACCTGAGGCAGGGTGGGTGCACAGCAGGGAGGGGGCGCACTTGCTGGCCGCCCTGGCTGATGACATTTCCAGGTGGTTGGAGAGAGGCACTT